CCATACCGACATAATTTACTATTTTCCTCGATTTACTCGAACTCGTACATGGCCGTAGTTTTTCTTTTTACTAAAATTTACACATTTATTAAAAAGTCCCACTACAAATGCAACTCTGTATTCGAAAAAAATATCATTTATGTCAAAAAGTTCGTATTTGTATGCAGACCATATGAATTATTTGAGAAAATATGGCGAGTTTGAAATTGTAGCACAACATAAGTGAGTGTGCAGCTGAAATTAGTTTATATTAAAAATAAGTATTCAATATATAAACATAAATTATTGAAATAAAAAAAAGATTAAACAAATGTTTTTATTGCTTTATAATAGTTTTGAAATTCAAGTTATAAAAACGTGAAAATAAAAATTATCGTATTAGTAAAACGTTTTGGAAAAAGAATAAGGTATAACCTAAAAAGAATTGAATTTGTCAACATATACGAGACTGACAGCAAATACGCTAAAGTGAATAGAGAAGAAGCATATATAATACAATATACATACCTATAAGCGCAAAAGAGACAATTGGTATGTTTACATTTTAAACGAATACAAAAGTAATTTTGTCCGTCGTCGTGGTAGTCAATTTATAAAACCGAAATCGTTGTCGTTGTCCAACGAGGCGACTTCGAATAGAAATTTTTGCATTAAAATTTTTCTTCGTGCGTTAATCATAAAAGTGTGTTTAACAAAACAAATTTTAATATATATATATTTATGAGAAATATATAGTAAAGAAATTCACAAATGATATGAGAATCTTAAAAAAATTATATTTAGAATCTAAGAAAAATTGTGTGAAAATGTTTTGACGCTGATTTCTCGGGCGCAAACAAAGGAAAATAAAACATTTTTCTTTGGCTGCCTTGCCTCAGCTTATTTTTTATCAAACACAATTTTGTGTCAAAAAAAATAACAAATGTTTATATATAATTAAAAACGGAGTTTTATTGCACTGAAGTACGGAATTTCATAAAAGAAATAAATCAACTTTATAGTGAGTATAAAAATCCATTTTATTTGAATATTGTAAAAAGAAATTTTGTTGGTGCAGAAGTACAATACATTTTTTGCTGCTGCTGCTGCTGCTGCTACTATTGCCTGGCCAGCCGACATTTTTGTTTTGTAATATCTTTGCATGGAAATTGTATGGCTTATAGGAAATCTTATTGCCTTACCAGAACGGAAATAATTTCGTACAAAAAATATTTGAAATAATTTGCTAATATATTGTACAATTCAATTAGTGTTTCTTATATTGTAAATTATACAGTTTTTTTTTCTGTACTTCCTATCAGTCAGTTATTTTTTGTCCGTCTATGTGCTTGTTTGTCCTCGTCGCCACGAGGCCATTGACTGCGAATGAACTGAAGTTGCTCTGCGTTAAAGCTGCTGTGTCCTCCAATCAGTGCAAATATTGAATTAATAATTGTTTTTCTTTTTATTAAAAATGTTAAACAAAAACTTGTAATTGTTTGTTGTTTTATGATATTAAGCAGTTTTAACGCAGCTCTAATGAACATAATTACTAGATTTTACTTTCGTCTTACTGCTAATCTTGTTGGATTTGCCTTCTATTATCTGAAATGTTTTACACACTCATAATGATTTGTTTTCTTTATGCATATATCAAAATAATAATTTTTAATATTATGTTCAATAATTAAGATATATCCCAATGTTAAGATCTTGCCATATGAATGCTTATACAGTCAATACATTCAAGCTTAATCGGCTGTCACTCTCAAGTCGTTACTAAACACTTGATTTAACAATTAAATCATACTACATTATATTTTCTTATAGTTGTAAATAAAAACGTATTAATAATATTAAAATATTTCAGATTATTTAAAAAAAACTTGAACTCAAAAATTGTATTTTCCATATGGTATATACCTTTTCTATAAAACAACAATGTACAATGGTTCCAATGTACTTAGTTAAATTAGATCCACACTTTTTTGCATCTGTAACTAGAAGAGAAATTTCTGAAATTCCCTAAAACACAAAATAACATAAATTTCTTACTAAAACTTGTCTTATTAGTACGTCACCGGAATAATTTTATCTGTTTTTATCGCAGCACCAGTGACTCATTGGATTTCATATAGCGTTTCTTGTTTAAAATTTCAAGTTAAAAAACCATTCTGTTCAGAAATACATTGTTCTCTATTTACTATTTCATTTCTTAATTCTATTCGTAACAAAACTCAGATATCTTCGGAGAATGCATTGAGGGCTGCAAGATAATTGCTTTCTATTTATTCTATTTACGCAAAATATTCAGTTCATTGCTCATAACAACCCTTAAATGAAGAGGAACGACTTGCATTTTCTTCTTTTAATTGAAAATTTTACATAAAAACATGTTTTTCCGATTTCCCGATTTGCGTAGTTGAAATTTTATTTTGTATTTTGTATTTTTATGACGGCTATCAACTTAACCCTAGCGTGTTTTACTACAATAGAAAAAAATGTGAAAGCACATTAAATAATACATATCTATACAGTCTTATGCTAAAATGTAATTAAGTACGCAAATAAGCATTTTGAAATGCGTAATATCTAAGATTTTAGAGGTTATAGCTTTACACAGTGGAGAGTGTTGCTTATGTTTGAAATCGTATAGAAGTAGAGATTTCTGGCGACTAGTTCTCCAAACATTTTATGCTAAAGACTACTCAAATATTTTTATTGCATCTATTATTATGTATATGTTCGCTATATTTTTGTTATCTCTCGGGATATCTTAAGTTGTACTGAGTTTGCCTAAAACTCTATTAGAGTAGTCTTGACAATGGTTTTGCAAAATCAACTCCGATTTTTCTTTTAAAAGACTGTAATACTCCAAAGATACAATACATATATATTGTCTAATATTGCCTAATATTAGAGGCTTTCTTACAGTTCTTTAATGAAATATATACCTCACGAGCTGCCGTTTATATATGAGCAGTAGTCATTTATAATGACTAAATATGTATTATTCACTATTCTCGTTGGAGTTTCATCCTTTGTAAGGATGATGGAACGATACGGTTTACAACTTTATAGTTTTTGAAGTTTTGAGCTACTTACTTTAATGACCATAACAACTTGTTACCGGACTTTAGCATGACACATCATGTCTCCCTAGTTGCCTCTGCTGGGTGCGCTTCAACTTCTTCAGTCTCTTACATCAAGTTACAATTAGTTATTTTTCAACTTGATCACTCCACCGGAGAAGTAGCCCTACGCCTTCATCCTCGAACTATCGCTTCAAATTTATTTTTCACTTCATTTTCAATTTATCGTCATTCATTTTCACGATATTATCAAACTAGCGAACCCTTTGGATGGTAATTCGATGAACTATATCAATGTCGTGATAAAGCTCGTACAGCTCGTGGTTCATTCGGATGTGGTAGTCGTCGCCAGCTTTCAGAGGATCGAAGAACTTATAATAAGTTTTCAGAATAATGCCTTAAATAAACAAATATTTTCAAATGTTTATAGGGTTCTTAGAAAAATCTGTAACTTTATCCTATTATTATTGTTTTAGAATTTTATCAGATTCTTGCTTAATATAAGAAACTCTCCGCTATGTTTAGTGGGTTCCTAAAAAAAACTTCTATGTAATTTTCTTTTCAAAATAAGGGTTTGAATCAAAATTTAATTGTACATACAAAATATTTTTTTTTTAAACAATATATTAAGTTGACTTTGTTGTGACCATATCTCTGAAAGATGTGTTCTTAGATTTACGTGATTAATTCTTAAAACAAAAAGGAAATGTTTTCTATAACGTTTCCGATGACGGTAAATGTCTTGATAAGTATGAATAGAGATTGTTCTTAATGATACCAAATCTCATACGTGTTAGACATCACGTAAAACTGTAAGTTTTTTGAAAACTTCGAAGCAGAAACGAAAAAGTGTTTCTGGATTAAGGTTATCATATCGTTTCTCTGTTATTGCAACTTAACGTGAGACTATGACTGTTTCGGGAAGCTCAACATCATATTACCATGCTACTATAAATTGCTTATCGTAACCATACTTTTTTTAGTTTCCATTAAAATCAATATTTTTGTGTAACTCTACGTCTATTTTCCAAAAGAAAATCCACTTTCACAGTAAAATTGTTTTAAAGATATTGAAGTATTGTGTTATTGAACTATTATCCCATATACACTATAATAGAGATTGAAAACTCAATTTAAGATGAATATAGGGAGGTTATTTTCTATAGCGATTTAAAATCTTATTTCTATATATGTACACATATTATAAGTATTTCAACAGTATATAATTTTTGAAAAATATAATAAAACAGATATATCATTCCTTATCATACTTCTATATATACATTATACAATTAATGTAATGGTCTCAAGTATAGAAAGCGAATTTGTATATAAATAATGAGTTCGAAACAGAACATAAAAACACCTGTTATATTATAAAAAAATATCCATATTGTATATTGTGATAAGCTCTACACATCATAAAAATATTGTCTGTTTAATGAAGCTTAAAATTCGTTCCAGTTCATCAATTTAACTCAATTCTTATTATTTAAATTTTTAATAAAAAAAAAATAAATATTAGCAGAAACAGGTATACATATATGTCTCTGATTTTCCAGTTATGGGTTTAAAAATAGTTTAAAAAAAATAGAAAAACCCTTTTTTTTTTTTGAATGTTTCAGAAAAGTTATTATTTTGAATTGTTAATTTATCAGTTATTTTTAACATTTGATAGTATATCATTATCTTTTGCTCTTACCTTCATAGCTCCTAGATTCTCTTTAATTTCAAGTTCTCTCGTTTTATTCCACGACCATCATTAAATAGATTTTATTATTTTAACTTTTGAATATTCGTTTTACTGATGTACGAATACATTATATCTGCACATCCATTATATAGCGTTTTTTATAATCTATTATTTTTGTATATCTAGAACGTATTCGTGAATCGGTTCCAACACATCTAATATCACCTTCATTTATCTATTTAAATACAAAAGCTCTTCAGAACCTACATAATTCACATAGTTTTATCCAGCAAAATTAACTTTTAGATATTTTTCCAAGCTTTTAATTTAATTCCATTAAGTCTATGCTTCAAGAACTATAAAAATTCCAAAACATCACTTTCAGAAAGATATTCCTAATTTCCTGGTTTATCAGAAACTTTATTATAAATAAAGATCTCTCTATTGACTCCATTAACAAATGTATCAAGATTCGAGTACCTAATGTTTTCACTATAACAGGTGATCTTATAAATTCTTTAGTTCCGCTGAGACGTACACAAGCGATTTAAGAAATATTTGCATATATGCCTACTGTTATGCTTAAATAAATCGGTTTTCAGAATAAAAAAGATGTAGACCATCAATTTTTTTTCAGTGTAGATCCAATGAGGCGCACCAAGAGACAGGAATGAAGGTGCTAGTTGTTATAGTGAATTTCAGTAGACAAGGAGAATGACGTAACCATAAAATGCAGTGAGAACCCGTTTTTTTAGTATGAAATTTGTTGTTGTTTAGTGACATCTCTTATGAAATAGACTATAGTCTACTAATCCAGTCTACTAATCCAATAAAAGATTAATTCAGTGACTCATAACTCAAACAATTAACCTACTTACTGGGTCTCTGTAAAGATAGGTGTAGGTAAAAAAGTAGGTAAGTAGGCTGTTATTAGATGGTAACTGTTGTAAAAATATAGTTACTGTGATAAATCTCTTTTTAATTGTTTTGTTGTGCAAAAATTGTTTTGTTATTAATTTTTGTTAGTTAGTTAGTTAGTTGTGGTGGAAGGATGACGAGTCTTCCACAATTAGCTAAAGAAAAAGCCGTTTTGAATCCACAAAAAGCCTCGTAATGGTGGATAGTAGATAGAGGGTCAAACTAGAACCAGTCAGAAGCATTAACAAAAGCAAGAATCTGGCTAATGCTAATGCTGGATATATCGCTGAGTTGAAGAAGGGGGCCCCTAGAAACTTA